CACACGAATAGCCAGAAGAGAAAGTGTGAACTGCTATAGGGTTGTTCCCTGTATCTGCTGTGTAATATTCCAGTCAAACAGAACTATAATGCATTGTAGTAACTTTGGATTTTTTTGAGACTGTTTCTTACATTGAAATGCAAGTCAAAAATATGGAAATTAAGATGGCATAGAACAAAGGCATAAGGATAATGTTAAAAACAAACAGTGGCCTGTTTAGAATATGCTTCAATGTAAATTTTAACTTGCCTTTGTGTTAGTACTGACATTTTTCTTGACAGAAGATGTTTAAAATTGCTGCGCACTTTAGGAATTGAAGCTTGGGATTTTCTGATTTGCAAGTTTTATTTCAGTGGAGTCTGGTCCTCTGGCTTGTTACATCAGGCTAAGTGGGTTCTGCAGTCACTGGTTGTCCTGAGAGCCTGAACATTATATGAGGTACGTTGGAGAGATTTTTTGTTACATGTAGGAAGTCTAGCAGAAACAAGATTCAGACTAAACTCCTTGTCTGATTTAAAAAAAAAAAGAGTTGAGACAGCAATGGTTAGTTCACTTTCACTGTGTAGCAATTTGATGAGAAAATACTAACCAATGCTAGCTGTTAGGTGTTTTTTGAGTCTATTATTTTTCTGAATACTAATATGCTAATAGGTTTTGTGGACCTAAATCTAAATTTGCTAATACAGAATTTACATAAATGGCTCTAATTTACATAACTGCACTTTAGAAATTCAGTGCCTAGCACTGATTTTCTGCCAAGTAGGAGCATTGTAACAGATGGCGGAATTTTCCACCAGCCAGGTGATAACCACTGTAAAGGAGGTATTTGTCTTCCCGTAAGTCTCTTGGCTTAAGGAAAGGGCTCAGTTGTGTTGCAGACTTGTCTAGTATATTTGTTATAATTTGAATAATTCAATTACATATATGGAGTAATATGAATGAATGTTTATGAATGAATCTTAAATCATCTGATTTTCAGCTTTTCCTGTCAATTTTCACCCTTTCATCATTATCTCAATCGACATGAAAATGTGTGGATAAGCTTCTATCAGGAGTAACGTAGTGACAGTTCAAGCATTTGGTACTATTATGCTCTGTGCAGTAGAAATGCAGTATAAAATATTTGCAGTTATTCTTAGGTCAAGGAATAGTGGAGTAATGAACTGCTCATGAGTGGTAGGGAGCAAATATTCTCTCTGGAGATGCTTGGCTTCTATCATTCAGGTTGTGGTGGCTGGAGAACAAGAACAGATGGCAACTGGCAGTGTAGCAGCAGGTGCAGCAGGAGTAAAAACAGATTGTTGTCATCCTCTGATTAGGTCATGTAAAGGTTTTTCCCATTTCTTCTCAGATGTGCTTAATAAGAACTGGGCACTCTGCTATTCTTCTTTCCATGTTAAGAGTTCTCAGATTTTTTTTTTTCCACCCTTAGCAGTAGGGAAGTCCTTTGATTTTTTTTTTTAGCATGTAAATATGACAGACATAATCAGCACAAGCCACTTTACTTTCAGTATGTCTTCAGTGCAGCATTGGGACAGCTCAGAACAGCATTGAAAATGATGTGCTAGTGGGTTAATACAGGTGAGGACTCTCGCTGAAGAAGAGAAATCTGAAAGAGCTTTTGGTGCATGAGCTGTTGAAATTTGAGTGCTACAGGTAACGGTTTACCATTATGTGAGGATGTCAAGCTTTGTCCATTCATACTCTAGAAACAATTGAAAATAATTCTCAAGAGCCTGATTCAACACTTAACAGAATTGAGTAGAAAACCTGCCTATTGACATCTATAGGAATAAGCTTGAATTACAGGGGAAACTAGTCTTTACAAAGAAATTAAATGCTCCCCCTGCACCTTCCCCACCCTCTCCTTGCCAAAAAAAACAAACCAGAAAAAGAAGAGTGAACAAGCAATATGTGTATGCTCTTTTATATAGAGCTCTTGTCATACTCCAGAGAGTGATCTTGGGGGATGTGGTAGGACTGGCTTTCTAACTGTAAACTTGCAGCAGAGGCAAGTTTTTTAACTGTTGTGGAGCAATTAAGTCTTGCATTGTCAGTTAAGCTGACTGGATCTAAAAGTGCAGGTCTTGTCTGTCTGCCATTTCTACTCCCACTGCTTTAGGGTTGTCCTGCCCCTTGTAATGATAGAGCTTCACAAGTGCTTGACAGGAAACAAAGTTAAATGAGGAAATCAGCAGTGGTACCCACAATTTAGCCTTACTTTACCTGTGGTGTTTTTTTCTTACTGTCTGATAATATTTTGTGGGGATCTAATATAACATGCACTAGAAAGCAAACAAGTTCATATCTTTGAGGTTTTTGTCACTTCAGACTGTGCTTGGTCTTGGACATCTGTATCTGTAATACATTACGCTTACAATTTGAAGGCTTCTTCAAAACCACAGGTAACTGGGAGCTTCCTAAAATGAAAGCGGTCTGCAGAATCTGAGCGCTTCCTGCGCGCCAGATCCAGCCATGGAGTATCACTTTCTTTCTGCACGGTTAGCTCTTGAAAATATCCTCGAACAACTGAAAGCTTCTGAATGTGTTGAAAAGCCTTTTTCAGTTCTAAATCATGTTTGGTCTTATCCTTTCTGCACGTTATCATGTAAGTAACACTTCCTTGTATGGTGGTGATACACACACTTCCTACTGAAAGAGCAGGTGCTCATGTGTACGCATCCTTGAGCCTGTCCGATCTTTCTCCCCTGTATTTAAACTTACAAAAAGTGCATTTAAAAAATAGAATGGGTATTTTATTTTATTTTTAAACTTACAAAGTGAAAAATGGGGGGTGGGTGGGTGTTAAAAGCAGAGCAAAACACATGAATGTATGCAAAACTATAGCAAATTTTGTTGTTATATTAATAGCACTCTAGTTATATATTCTGTTTTGAACCTTAAACTGCATACCTCCCAGGGTAGGAATTTGTGTACTGTGTCTCTGACTAAGTTGGATGCAGTGCATGCTGACCATTGCTGGGAGTTTGGGTGTGATCGCATCCTCAAATATATTATCTGTATGTTCTGCCAGTATGGATAAACATTGCCTTGTGTCTTTTGATTAGAGTATGTTGGGTGTTAGACCACAGTTTGAGATATAAGGAATTTGCCAGGTTGATTTGGACTTAGCTTTATCCAAAATAGCAGCTTCCATGTTGGTTTTTGTACGTTCTTCGCTTTGGGGTTTGAAGCTTCTGTTTTGCATTCCTGGAACATCCAGCAGTGTGGTTGTAACTTCCTTTGCAGGCCTATATATGGTGTGAATTTGAAACTGTCACTGTGATAACACTAACCTGGTAGGTCACCTCTGTCTCTTAAAGCTATAGTCTGTTGTCCATTCTTAGCATTTAAGGGACTACTTCTCCGAAATACAACAAATGTAATGAAAGTGTCAAACAAGATCCTTGCATGAGCTGGAACAAGGCTTAGAACAAGTATATGGGAGAGGCAGTCTGTTTTTCTTCCCCACCCTGCTTTGTTCAGATGATAGTTGTGGGCAACTGTTTACCCAGGATACAGGATGCTGTTATGTATAGTGACAAGAGAAAGCTTGTCCTAACATAACTGCCTAGGCATGAACTTTGCAGACTCCATCTGGATCAGTCTGTGCTAGAGGACTACTTAGTTTGACTTCCTTTTTTCAGTTGATGCTGCCACTTCTTGGAGCTACTTACAGTTGTGCAGTCTTAAATAAAAGCAGATAAGTAAATAATAACTCCTGAATGGCTTTTTAGAGTGCTCAAGTTAGTAGTGTATTGGTTTTGATTTGCGTGACACACCTGAAGTATGTGCATATTGGATTTGCATACCATGTGTTTGGGAAAGCTGTGTAGGGGAAGGGATTGGGGGTCAGTAATGGGGAGAAAGTTCTTTCAGCTGCTACATGTCTTTCAATGCCCTTTTGGATAACATCTGTTTGACTCACTGCAGACAGCACTTTCGCTAGCTCTTTGCTGTCAGCACTACAAGGCCTGAATAGTTGCAGGAAAACTAGCTATCACATATAGTCTATGATACATCAACAGCAAAACTGTCCACTAAGCACCCGTTCTGCTACCTGTTGGTATAATTGAGTATAAGCAGAAAATCTACTTTTGTTTCCTTATTAGGTAGCAAGAATATGCTCTGGTATCAGTGTTTTTCCCTACCAGTTTGAACCTATTTTGTATGAGTTTGAACAGTGTGTATGAGTATTTGAAAGAAAGGAAACACAGGAATGTGCTTTGGTTTTGCCTGACCTGGACTGAAGATACCCATATTGTGTAATCTACCTGCAAAGACTTTCTTTTTGTAACTTACAAATCCATGGAAATTAGGTGGAAGGTACCTAGATCGATTTGTCCCTGGGCTTAGGTATGGGTGGTACTGTTTATTTAACTGGTCTTCTGGATTTAAGTGGGAGGTGACTTGCTGAGCTTGGTGGAAGCAAGAGAAGAGCAGCATGCATTTGTTTGTAGCATAGTGATTTTAATATAATCCGATATTCCTCTGCAGCGCTTGTTACAAGCAAGGAGTGCTGTGCTGCTGATAAAAATAGATTGGACTTGCTCTGATCTTTTAAAAATGCCCTTAATACAGTAGCACAGGCTTTGCCTTAGAACATCTGACTTTTAATTCTGATTGTGAAGTCAGGTGGGGTAAGTAGAACTTGGATCGACTGTAAATGACTTAGCCACTTAGCAAATCCTCTTGAAGAACCATACTTGCTTGCCACCTGCTTTTTACTGAGGGTATGTAGGATGATTAAATGCTGGCATGTTATGAGGTAATCTCCCTCGCCCATGCAGCCTCTCCCACTGCTGGTTTGGTACCCAGCAGTTCTCTCGTCAGCACCAAAGACTGATGACTCTGAAAACGTATCGGTTAAACTGCTTACTGTGGTAAAACAGCTAATGGGTTTTGGTGCGTGCTTTCCACTGTGATTATGTGGCTTATGCTATCAGTGAACAGCAATATGAAATGCTCATGTTTTATGGAGCTTTTGATTTTTTCCATAGTTTTCAGTTGACCAAAGAAATGGTGATGGAGAAGCCAAGTCCCCTGCTGGTCGGGCGGGAATTCGTGAGGCAGTACTATACTCTGCTGAACCAAGCACCTGACTATTTGCACAGGTAAAGCTCTGTTTCACTTTATGATCTGTTTTTCTGTGTGAATTTCTTAATTTGTATGTTAAAATTGGTGAATAAACTTATTATCACGTCTTGGCTTGCTGAATTTGGACGTTCAAAAATCTGATTTACTCAAGACAGACTCTGGGTATAATTTGCTTTCAGTTTTGATCAGCTGGGTTAAAACATGGAAAATAAAGATTACAGGAATTCTTTAAATGTGTGTTCTGGTTGTTACTGAAATGCTGCTATACATGTATTCTAAGCAAAAAAGAAAAAATGTAAATCAAAAGTGTGTTGCTTGCTACTTCTAGTTGTAATTAATATAAATCAAAGTTGGATAAATGTTTAGTTAAGCATTTTTGTAGTTTGTCTTGATACAATGCCCCCTGACTAGAGGAAAAACATTGAAAATAGTGTATGCTTGTATATTGGTATGTCTCAGTCATACCAGCAGCTCTTTTTTAAAGGAAAATCAGAAATTATGAATGTGCAGCAAACGACAATCTGTTATCTAAACAAATTGGTCCTGTTTGATTTGACAGGTATCCTACATTGCTAGAACTAACCTCATTTTTGAAGATATACTTTGTTTTGCTGTGCTTTGAGTAGCTAGACAAGCAATTTCTGAAACCTTCCTTCTTCCAATCTCAGGAATGCTTATTCAGAGTATTTCTGCATTTAGGTGGACAGCTGACCTTGTCCATTTGGGTCAGAGGAAAGTTTACAATGTGCTGTGGAATTCAGTTCTTGTCTTTTACCTGCCAGCAGAATGCAGTCCCATGATGTTTATGACATTTTAGCTTGTAATCCCTCAGTTATAAAATGGAAGATTTACCTGCAGTACTCTCTTTACTATAGATGAACAAAAAAGTGCCATTGCTCCTTGTTCAAGCTTTAAACTAGAACTTGAGGGGAAGCCTTCAGCATCCTGGGTGTTCAGGGTACTATGTTGCTTTAGGGACCTTGTACAGAAAGGGGAGAATAGGATTGGGTCATCTAGCTCCCACGAGACTTTGGTTTTGGCTATTGGTGCTTGGGTATCTGACATATCTTAACTCTACAGCTTACACAGGAGAATTTTGTGTTTTCCTCTTTGATCAACCCCCCCCAGCCTCCAGATTGCTAACAGAATTATGCAAATGTATGGCTGTATTCCAATAATTAAGACAGAAAACTTGCTTGAGAGTGTATTATTCATAGTGCACTCTAATGTAGAGGCTCAATGTTCTTACATAACAAAGCTTAGTGTTAAGATATTTCTTTCCAACAGGTTTTATGGAAAGAACTCTTCCTATGTCCATGGTGGCTTGGATTCCAATGGAAAACCAGCTGACGCAGTCTATGGGCAATCTGTAAGTACTTAAACTTACTGTTCTTTACTTCTTTTTTGTCACCTTTGTGGTTGATAAGAGGCACACATATCCAGCTGTGATTCATCCCCCTTTGTCCAAGTGCTTTCTGAAGGGGAAAAAAACCAACAAACCAAAACAAAAAACCCCAAAACAAAAAACCTCAAAAAAACTGTGTAGCTGTAAACAGCAATAGTTAGGCAAGATATGCTCCCTTTAATAAAGTTCATAATGTAAAATAGCTTGCAAAGCAAACTTAAAGAGCATGCTGCCAAGCTTTCTCTCTAGAGTTTGGGAATATATACTGAAACAGTGTTTTATGTCTTTTGCTTTCTTTGAAAGCAACTTAGCAGTAATGTCTTCTGCAGTGTAACCTGTATACCATTTTTTCATAGGATATCCACAAGAAGGTGCTGTCACTAAACTTCAAGGATTGCCACACAAAGATTCGTCATGTGGATGCCCATGCTACTCTCAATGATGGTGTTGTAGTCCAGGTGATGGGAGAGCTCTCCAATAACATGCAGCCCGTGCGCAGATTCATGCAAACATTTGTACTTGCACCTGAGGTATGCTGTATTGAGTGCTAGTGTTGTTATAGTGCTTCTAATATGTCAGGATTAATGAGGCTTGTCTGGTTCAGTGTTGGAATCTGAATGGTTAGACTGGGAAAGCAGTTTGCCACAAAATTCAGCAGTAATGTTCTGCAAATTCCTTAGGATATTACGCTACTTCTGTATGGTCATATGTTAATCTTGGATGTCATAATTACAGTTGTAAATATCCTAACTTTTGGCTACTAGGTATGTGCAATGCATAGTTTTTCTTAAGCATTTTAAAGTTATTTTATCTTTGATTTGCCCTCCTAGCAACTGGTCCTCTTACTGAAAAGAACTAGTAGAAAGTGGAAAATACTCCCTGTCGTTTGAAGACGTGGGTTCCAGACTTTCTTGTTGTATAAAGTGCTGACTTAGCATTTGAGGTGGCTTTTTAAATAGACACCTTTTTTGAACAAAACAGTTCACATAATTGAAAACGATAGTGGAAAAAAGGAGTATTGCAAGATCGCTTTATTTTTCAGTTTGACTTGGAGCTAAGAATTGATACTTTAGACCCCAGAAAGTTCTCGCTCCTACTTTTTCAGTGTTGTGAGCTATTGGAATTAAAAGCACTGATACAAGTTTTCCCATTGTTCCATGCCTATTTGACTTGCTAGTATGATGTGTTTCTTTTCTCCTGAATAACACACATTTTGTTGATGGAGGCAAGTTTGGATTAATCCTATGTGGGAAAGATGATTTGCTCAATTTGTTCTTGTTTTCTCATTATTTCAGTTTTTACCTTACTGCATTTGATGTAATTAAATCGGTTACTCCCTTTGATTTGCTTCTAGGGTTCTGTTGCAAACAAGTTTTATGTCCACAATGACATCTTCCGCTACCAAGATGAGGTTTTTGGGGACTCTGACACTGAGCCTCCAGAGGGTAAGTAGCAGGAATTTTTGGATGGTTCTACTGGTATTTGTTTCTGGGTCTATATCAACACTCCATTCCCAGACTAGAGGAAATCTTGCTGGAGAAGGCAGATGAGCATTAAGCTTCATCATCTTCTAGGTTTTTTTTTCCTTGCCTGTAGTTTCTTTGCATTCCAGCAAGGAGTTGTGACATGCAGATGATTTTTATTTTTCGGGCATATTCTGTTTCTATTAAAAGAATTGTAAGACTTATTTTAGCAGTCAGTCAGATTTGTAGGCTATAAATCTGCTTCTCTGAAGTATTTGGAACAAGTTGTTTGACCTTCGTCAAAACTGAGTAACCGAAGTGATAGCAGAAGTATAAGGAAATGTCTGTTCCGTGTCACATCTTGATAGTGCTTCCCGTGTGCTCTTCAGTGGAGACTTCACCTGCGTGTTGTGGAAGATGCCTTGCGTTGGAACAGAGTACTAAAGATGTGTGTGGTGTATTTTTTTCCTTCTCTAACTTCATTTAGAATCAGAGGAGGAAGGGGAGGAACCTGAAGAAAGACAGCAGACACCTGAGGCTGTTCCTGATGATACTGGTGCTTATTATGAGCAGGCTGTCAGGTAATATCTTATTAGATGAAGTCAGATGTTGTGTAATATAGACTGCCTGTAGAACAGGTCAACTGAATTTATTGCTACTCATGATTTTCCTCTTTGACAGTCAATAGATTTCTGTTTATTGGGCAGCTGAAACCAAAGTGCTGTTGGGCTGAACGCGGAGACTCTGGATTTTCAGTAGATGCAATGCTTTTGCTGCACTATAGTTTAACAATGCGAAACTTGGATCCCTGTGCAATGTGGCATTATTTATACAGATTAGCCTTGTTCTTCCTCTCGAACGTGACGTGCCTGACTTCTGTATTGGACAAGTAGCATTCCTTACCACCCAGTAATAGAATCAAATACAATACCACCTTTTTTTTTCTGTTTGTGATGCTGTCTAATAGCAATGACATTGAGGAACATCTGGAAGAGACGGCTGCAGAGGCAGAGCCTGAGCCAGAGCCAGAACCTGAACAGGAGCCTGAACCAGAGGTGCAGGAAGAAAAATCTGAGCCGGTATTAGAGGAGTCGGCTCCAGAAGAGACTGTGGAAAAGAGTCCTTCTCCAGCTCCTGCTGATCCAGCTCCTGCAGTGCAAGAGGACTCCAGGGTAATGACAGTGGATGGCTCTTTTTTATGGTGTGGTGGTTTCATCAGTATGTTTTACTCTGTTTTACAGAGCATGATCCTATCTCTGGAAGAGGAAAAATATCTGGAATTAGAAGTGTTTAAATGCTTTGTAATTTTCCCCCCACTGCCCAAATTACTCTTCTCGTGACCAGTTGCCTCCTTCCCATTAGTTACTATGCAATAACAGGTAGTTGAAATTCTAGCTAGTAACTAGTTGGTTAAAATACCAGGAGCTGAGGTAAGGCTTTATATGTTTGGTAGGTGTGGGAACTGTGGCAACAGCGAGAGGCTCAGATTCTTTATTTGTTCAGAATTTCAGCAGCTCTGTTTACAGACTGCAGCCAACATGCTGAATCAGGAAAATGGGTGAAATGCGACTTTATTTCTACCTGGGGGATTTTTGTCACTCTTCAGTGTTAAGGGAGGCAAAAGTGGAGAAACGGATACTCGGGAAACCAGTATCTTGGTTAACCTTGATGTGATACTTGGTCTTAGGTCACTGCTGTGTCCTATTTCAACTCTATGTAGAATTTAGAAATAGGGTGGAAGTGTGACTCCATTGTCATTACACTAAGTCTCTTGAATTGAAATGATTTGAAGGAAGTTGTGGGGAAACTGCTGGTGGCTGGATCTAGAATTTCAAGTACAGGTTAAAATTTGTTACTATTATCCTGGGTCGGTTAGCTGTACTATCAGGAATATGTTTCAGAAGGATAAAAGCATCTGGAGTTGAGTTACAATTTTTTTTTTCCAGACATTTTCCTGGGCATCGGTAACCAGTAAGAACCTCCCTCCCAGTGGAGCTGTTCCAGTATCAGGAATACCACCTCATGTTGTGAAAGTACCAGTCTCGCAGGTAGGAATCCAGCACCTAGAGAAGTTTAAGTGCTAAACTGACTGACAGTAAACTGAGGTGGGGAAAAATATGGTGAAATCTACTTGCTTATAATCTGAATTCTCAGAGACTCCAAAGACTTTCAAATTCAATGTTTCATGATAGACTTCATGAAAATGTTATTCCTTGGCTTTTGGGTTGAAAAGGAATTGTTTCTCATGGAGGAAAAACAGAGAATGTTCATGTGAGTGCTTGGATGTATCTGCCATCTAAAATGATTGCACCCTCTTAATAAAAGAGGCAACTTCTCTAATTTTTGTCCACTGCCTATTCACGAATGAGATTTTGTCATGAATGAATTCATGTAATACAATCTAGCTGCGTAACTGCCACTGCACTTTGGGCAGACACTTTATTGTATATAACTGTGAATGGGGTGACTTTGATATTCTAACTTAATCAAGTGACGTGTTTGCTTTTAGCGTATAACCCAACATGAGCTAACATGCATTTTAGTCACAGGTGGAAAGAACTATGATTTTTTCCCTGTACTCTCAAGTTATTTTATCAACAACTTGATAGTGAGCTCTTAAAAGCTGAACCCTACTGTTTCAGCTACCCTAATGTCTGATTCTTAACTCCTCTTTGAATTTATGCAGCCCCGCCCTGAGGCAAAGCCTGAATCTCAGACCCCACCTCAGAGACCTCAGAGGGATCAGCGAGTGAGGGAGCAACGAACAAGCATCCCACCACAGAGGGGTCCTAGACCAAGTAAGAGAAGCTACAGAGAGTGAACTGTTTTCTGCTATTTGATGGTTTTGGGGAAGCAATATGATGATTAAAGCTTTTAAAATCTCATTAATTTTGTCAGTAAGTGAATGATTTCTACTTTTGTGGATATGAATTTTCTTGATCTGAATGTCTGGCAAGCTTTAGAGCTGAATTTCACTATCATTCTGTTGAAGTATCTAGGTTTCTACTCAAGTGTTTGGCTTCAGTCAGGTGATAAAAAGCAAACGGTTACAAACTTGCTAGTATAAATGCTTACCTCTTTTTACATATGAATGAATAAATAGAGTGTGAATTCTGGTTCTTTTATAAGGTGCTAATTCTGACCATGGCTTGGTGCGGTTTTTTGTTTGTTGCGGGGACTGGCTTTTCTTAAACAAATTTTACTTTTCTGTTCAAGTTCGTGAGGGTGAACAAGGCGATGTGGAAACTAGACGGATTGTGAGATACCCAGACAGTCATCAGCTGTTTGTTGGGAACCTTCCCCATGATGTGGATAAAACTGAACTTAAAGACTTTTTCCAAAGTAAGTTAGTTGCTTTGCTGTACTCTCAGGGTTTGGGGGTTACAGCCATAAGCGTGGTCAACAGGGCATTCTAATGTATGACCCAAGAACTTGGCTTTTCTCTTGCAGGCTATGGCAATGTTGTTGAACTCCGCATCAACAGTGGTGGAAAGCTTCCCAATTTTGGGTTTGTGGTGTTTGATGATCCTGAACCAGTTCAGAAGATCCTTAGCAGCAGGGTAAATAACCTTCTAGTCAGTGGTTTTTGGTCTGTTAATACCAGGCAACATTTTTCAGATTACTCTAACAAGAAAAGATTTTACTTGGTCCCTGTCTTGGTCCCTTTGCCCTTTCTTAAGCATCTTAAAGTAGGTGGGATGTCTTTCCCTCCTATTACCAAGACTTGTGCAGCATTTGTACAGATTGAATCTTTTGTCATTGAAGTAGCTTGTAACAGCATAGGTGAACATGAACTTACTCATTATAGAGCCTTTTTCCAATGGGAAGCTGCTAAGCTCTACACAGGAAGCAGGTAAAAAGCTTTCAGGAAGGCAAGGTAGAGAGAGTCTGACCCTATGGACAAGTAGAATCTTGGTTGTCGAAGAGGTTGAAAGGGAGAAGCTGTACTAGTGTGCAGGTTGAAAAGAATTTCTGCAAACAAAGGCAGGAGGTACCTGCTCAGCTCGTTAGTGATTGCTAATGCAAAATGTGCACCCCACGACTGTACGGTGTGGTGGTAGGAAACTAATCTGGATGCACTGTAACAGCTGTGCAGTGTACTTGCTTACAGCCCAACTTTTCACCAGACAGGGACATCTTTTCTTCTTTACTTCCTTACTGTACAGCAGTATTGCCAGCATATTTCTGTTCTTAAATTGAAAAGTAGCTTGTGTGCAGACTTTTAAGCCTTGCGATTTGGTCTGAGTTGAGCTGTGGGATGCCAGCAGCATTTGTGGCAATGCTTGATGAGTTAGTGAGTATGAAGCCCAGCAGCCCTAGAAGCTCTCAAAGGGGGCTGGTGATTCAAGATTGGAATGCTGATAGAGAGTCGCTTCCTTAAGTGCTTTCCTACTATCGTGGGCTGAGCAGTTCCAATGTGGTCTAGGGTAAAGTCTAAAACAGGTGATTTGAAACCAGTGCTAAAAGTAGGTTGAATAAATCTGGTTGGCTTTGGCCTGAATTGGTGTGGGAACAAGTAGTACAGTGACAGTGGGTCCTCAAGCCATTTCTTAGCTGCAAGCACTATGTGAACACCTTCGGCAGTGACTTAAATTTGCATGTTTGAGTTTTTGCTGAAACAAACTAGAAATGTTCACTCGGGAGTTCTCTTGCAGTGGGAGAGGTAGCAAAGAGCTGAGTGCCAGACTTCATGTCCAGGGAATGCCAAAGGCACACTCAGCTGAGGGATTTGTGGCCTTTGTTTACTTGTCCAACTGTGCCACTCTGTAACTGGAGCCAGAGAAGAGAGTGCATGCTTCCAAGTTAGACTTTGAATGTGTAAAAAGCTTTCAAAGTTGGTGCACTCAAAGTATCTTTTCTGCAAGCCTATGTAAATGCTTAAATTTATAATGGATGGGCATGGTTTTCTGAAGTAAGATTTTTTTTTTTTATATAGACTTAAGTCCTGTAAAAGCAGTTTAACACATCTACCCTGCTTTGAACAGCACTAAATTCTGTTTGTAGTATCCACTGTGTGAACTGTTTTGCAAATGGGCCCAGTGCTTTAGGCAAACATATGTCCTGAAACAGCAGGACTTTTTTCAGGATAAGCTTTGCTATAAATGAGTTTAAAAGGCTTTGGTAGACTGTTAGCCAGTGAAGCTAAACCTGATGTCTGCTGCCTGATGTGAAATGAGGGAGTTTACACTGGAGTTGGTAATAAGGCTGTAACATGATGCTTTGATCTTTTTGTCCAGCACAGCTGATGGCTAGAGGAGGGCAATGTGCTTCATCCTTAGATCTGTTCTACTTCTGTGGTCACTTCCGTAGAAGTGAATGGCTAGTCTTTCTGTTTGAGAAAGCATTGTGCCTGTGCTAACGATAGATCGTATTTTTCACTTTCTTGTTTGTTATGCAACTGCAGGAATAATTTGGAACAAGCGAGTCCTTATTCCTGTAGTTCTCGGATTCTTGCAGACTTCAACTTTGTCCGCAATGAGGTTTGTGGGATGTTGCAGTCCTGCTCCTCTCAGTTCGAATTGAGCTTGACTTAAGTGAAAGACTTCACTGGCCTGTATAGCAAGGTGGCAGAGAGGATTTGACGTTCTTCTTGCCATAAGAAAAATCCACTGGGACTCTGCGTGGTGGTAGACTGTGAATTGCCACATATTAATGAAAGTAGGTTACTGTTAGTTCCATTCCTTTTCTAAAAGGTCTCAATGCTCAGTGTTAAGCCTGAGATTGCTTTTCAAGTGTCACTCTTTCACATCTCTTTTATATCTTCTCCAGTAAAGCACAAGACTGGATGCATAGTTTGACTGTTGCCATTTTCTAGTAACCAATCATAAAACACTTTAATTCGCTTTCATGGAGAGGAGGATATGAGACAAGGTTGCAGAAATCTGCTTGACATTGAAGAGTTACTGGTGAGTCACTAATGACAGTACCTTTTCTGCTTTTGTTGCAGCCCATCATGTTCAGGGGAGAGGTGCGCCTGAATGTGGAGGAGAAGAAAACACGAGCTGCCAGGGAGGGTGACCGCAGAGATAACAGACCACGTGGACCTGGAGGCACTCGTGGGGGGCTGGGAGGTGGGATTCGAGGGCCTCCACGTGGAGGAATGTCCCAGAAGCCAGGATTTGGAGCTGGAAGGGGGATCGGGCAACGCCAGTGAATGCATCATGGATGTTGACATGGTGGCGCAAACCCTTTTTCCTGCAGATTTGTGAATTTCAGCCTTGGGTATCTTGGAATGTGGCCCTAGCCTGTATAGACTGCTACGTTTGATACTATTTTGGCCCCTTTTTGTTTGTGTTATGGTTTTGTGATTATTTTTTTCTAGTCCTTGTCCCAGATTCCAGCTTTGTGGAACAACGTTTTAGGAAAAGTGGATTTTAAAAAGAACTGAATTTTCTTGTTCACCTCAAACTTACGGACTGGATTTTTTTTGGTACCAGTGGTCTTTCCTAAAGGAATGTCTCTTTTATTTTTTTCTTTTTCTTTTTTCCTCCCCCCTTTCTACTGAATTTGGGTGCATTTCAGTCAATGGAATAATATTTCACGTGCATGCGTTCAAGAGCCTGTAGGATAATATAGTACTTGGCAAGTATTTCAAGGGCAGAAAAACAAAACTATCGATTTATCCTTTGAGGGTCATACGAACATCCTCTGGTCCGGAGATCTTGCCACTTGAAAAATTGACATTCACCTTTCTCTTTGTGGCGCTGTAAAAGTGGAATAATGGGTATCCGTAGAATCTTTTTTCTTTTGATACATGATCACGGAAAGGAATTCGAACTACTGTTTTACCACTTAAATTTTGGATTGTGGGATAGGTTTTAAATGTCTAGAACTTGACTCTTAAAACACTTTTCCTGAACTTGTGAAATTTTTTATTGAAATAGGGAGTTTTTTTCATGTTTAGTTTGTATTTGTATAAAAAAAGCAAAATTGTTGTGCCTTCTATTTATCTCTCATTCCAGTCTTGGCAAATTGTTTAAAAAAAAAAAAAAATAAAAAAGGTCTAGATTTGCTTTATCAAGTCAAGAGTATGTTGGAGTTTTTCCAAGGGGAAGAGGTTCTTCCTTCAGTCACTAGGTTTACTAGGTAGACTTGGTTATAGCTGAAGTTTTTAACACCTTCTGTTCATCGGTTTGGCTGCATTTAAATAATGGAAAACAAGTACTTTTTGGATGCAGAATTTAATAAGTTTGATTTGAGACCGGGCAGGCCCCATTACAAATGTTGCAAAAGTAGAACTTCTGTCACATCCTTTACAGTTCAAACTACTGTATGTAATAGAGTTATTTTTCCAGTTTAGGCATAATTTCATCCCCTGCTTCTGCCAGACCTGAAGTGGATAGATGGCATTTTTGTTGGAAGTACAGAAGGTGCCTGTCTGTCCTGGTATTAAAAAACATTGAACGCTCTCCACTGCCTCTGAAAGAAGATGAAACTGAAAATAAAAAATAGAAAACTGGGTAATTTCACTCAAAGATCTTGTAAGATTGTACTGCATAAAGCAGTATTACTTCTGTAATATGTGGTGTTAAACATCTGGATGAAAATGGCAGTTTTGAGTCCCCACCAGACCTTTCAGAGCTCTTGGGAATATGAAAGAGCTGCTTAGTAAGTTTGCTTATATGTGCCAGGGTTCATTGTTTCTGGTTTTTTGATTCATTAACACAACTGCTGTGCATATGCAGTATATATCTCTTGACGTGTGCTTGCTTTAAAGCTAGAGCAAAGCTGCCCTTGCCCAAAGGGTGGATAGGTATTACCTGTTCCAGAACAGTAATTTTTGCCTTTTACTTGCCAAACCTAGTGGTTGAGCCTGGTTATACTGAATGTCAGTAGAGTTTTGGTTTCTGTTTTATTTTAGTTTCATCTTCAGAGTTGTGTTACGCTATTTGTCCCTTCCCTCATGAATGTTTCTCAGATTGACTTGCTTACAATCTATTCCCGAAGACTTAAATATCTTCGTGAATCGGAGGAGGGCTAAGTGTGACAGCAATAGCTGTGGTATGCTCTCTCACAGCCAGCATACTGGAAATACATACTGCTTCCTCTTGTGGTGGTAACTGGTATTTTTCTAAAAACTAAAACAGCTTTCTGCATTTTTTTTTTTGTATTGGGAATGACCATGAGGTGGAGGTGTGCAATGGAAGTCTTTCACTGAACTCTGTCCTTGTTGTTTGTGACTTTTTTCTTTTCATTTGTTGGGTTTCTGCTGTTCTTGATGTTAAATCCAAAACTGCAGTAACAGTTGCACTTCAGACTTATCAAAGTGCTATTAATAGAAGCTTTTATAGCTCTTAACCAAATCTGCAAAAGCACCCGTAAGCCTGAAACACCATTTCTGTAGTCGGAGTTGGACAGTTCTATCTCGTTGTCGTCTGGCTTGAGCAAGAGCTGAGGAATGTCAGTGAAGAATTGCAAAGCCTATAAGGTGAAGTGTATGCCTGTTTTCATATGAATCATACTCTCAATATGTTAAATAATAAAAGACCCAGAAAGTGATGATGATGTCCAAGATGACAGGCAAAATAAAATATTTACATAAAACTTTCTTGGAATGTCTTGTAAAGAAATACTTTTCAAAAGCAAGTTACGTTGACAGCATCTTGAACAAAATGTAGAGTGACTCTCAGTATTTGCGTTTTGGTTGTTCTGTGACTAGCTAATAACAACGTATACTGAAAAGACCTGCTGTAAAATGTTGTCACGTCGGCTTTTTTGTTTAAACTTTCTAGTAGCCTCAAGCCCTTCTGATTTCTGCATTGACTGTGCTGTTAAAACCTCAATATCTCTTGTCTGAGGTCTTCAATGCTTTGCATGCATTAATGGTGAAGATGACTATGAAGAAGTCATGATTTTATTTGCCTCAGCTACAAGAAGGCTAACCTCTAATAACTAAGGTAGTCTAACTCCTTCTGGAAAGAAAATGCTACAGGGAAGTTTCAAATGAAAAGGGCTCTGTGTCTCCCTGCTAGCACCTCTGCTTTAATGGAGACAATGAGGTGGTGTTTGCTGAAGTGCTCTTGATGTCCCAGTGCTCTGCAGGGAGTAGGAAGTGGAGAAAAGTTGGTCAGACCTGTCATAGGCTGCTTTTGCGCACACACACGAGCCATGTGGACAGTGTTGGGAGCAACCTTAATGATCCTTGTACCTTAATGGTCTGCCCTTCTGAGAGCATGGGTGTTTCACGTATGAGGCCGTATAACAGTCATCTGACTGATCTTAATAGTGTAAGGCAAGTAGAAATAAGACTGTTTCATTTACAGTAGTATTTCATACCACCTGAACCAGAACTGGAAGCCATGCTGCCTTTGCTGCATTTTCTTTGGTTAAGGGCATTGTGCAATTAACTAGGCTTACCTATCCCCTTTTCTTGTGTGGGGAGAAACTCCTGGAGTACTTCTAAGTACCGGCTGACCTGCGTGGAGCTGTTGTGTAAAGTTGGACTGAAATTTTTGTGTGGTCAGGACTGCAGGTGTTTGTTCTGCAGTTGAGGATTCAGGCTGGGATCACTTGCTTGCTCTGCAGGGCCCTCTTTACAGGTTCCTCTTTTGAGGAAGAATTTGCTCAGAGCTGAAGGTCTAGTGTTCCTGGGTATATACTAGCCACGCACAGGGAAGCGTGGAGGTGGTGAGCGTGCTATTGGAAGTAGGGCTTTGCAGAGAGGATTTACTCCTGGAGCAGGAAACTGAGCCTGCGTGCTAACGTGCTGTGTGGTAACAGCGAGCTCTGACTTGAATCTGAATGAGAAACATTCTTCAGCAGTGTCACATGGGAGGATTGCTCTTTAGACCTGGGAGTCCGCTTTCCTTGATGAAAAGGGTGGCTCTGGGTGCAGGAATGAAGATTTGGAGTTGATCTCTGCAGCTGCTGATTCTGTGTCTCTTGGAGGGACATCATCTTTTTGAACAAAATGTGTTTTTTAATTGTTTCTCTTTCTTTAAACACTGCTGCCTGGGGCTACGAGCACATGGCACACTAGCAGTTTCCCGAAGTTGTGAATGCTTTAGCAGGAAGTAATTATCTCGGTGATTATTTCATTTCCCAGCAGTACCATTCTTACCCTGGCTGGTAACTTGAAAAACTGCTCTCCTAAGATCTTGATAATCTTGTTTGCATGTTGTGTGGAAGATGGGGTTTGTTAATTGCTTATCTGGTTATGAGACATGAAACAATTGAGTAAAATGCTTTCAAACTCCACCATTCCTTAAAGACAGCAGATTTTAGAGTAATGGTGTGTTCTCAGGATAGATTTGAAGGGCAGGATGTTGCCCTTCTATTTTCTGTTACAAAATGCCACTTGCAAGCCAAGTGGGATCTGCTGTTCCACTGATGATATTTTAAACTTGACAAAGCACCTGGCAGTGGAAGGAAAAATACTTTATCATGTCCATCTTTGAGATTCAGTGTGAGTGGCAGTCCTTTAACATTCTGAAATGTCATTTTGGGTGTCTGTACCAAGGTCAGTTCATCTACCGAAGAATTTTAAGGCTGTGTATAAATAATGCCATGTTGTAGCTTGCAAAATGGTATATGAAATGCTTTTTTTTTTTATATGGACCCTAGGCCCAAACAGCTAAGCTCCTTGCCGGAACCTGTTCTGGCTTGCATGAGAATTTAAGGCATAGTTTGGCTCTATGGAGCGTGCTGCTGTTCGTTTGTGTCTGATTTTTTAAAATCCGGGGTATTGTAAAGACAACACAAACAGAACTTTGTTTGGGTACCTCTCATTGCTGCGCGAAAGACCAGAGCAACTTAGAGATGTTTTATACAGACTAGAGATGTGATGCGTCCCTCTTGATCACACTTGTGGAAAACTTGCTTCTGCTGCCTGGACTTGATCTTGAATCCTGGGAAAGGAAGGCTAACTGTGTGAGCCTTGCAGGAGTCTGGAACAATAAGGAGCAGTTCAGAAGTCTGAATGCTATGGCGCTCTCCATGCTACAAGGCTGATATTGCTGCTCTTGTAGGAATTCCTTTGTGGGGTGGAGCTTGGGAGGTCACAGATGGGAGAGATTATTCTTCAGAATAAAAGGCTTAACAGTAAAACTGATCTTTTTGCCTTATTTTCATGAAATGTTACGTTAGCACAAATGTACGAGCAGCGTGGGCTGCAGCGTGGAACCTTGGCACTAAAAATCCATGGAGAGAATTTCAGAAAAATCTTTATTTTTTTATTGGAATCAGCATGAATGTATGATTCAATAAATATATTTATATACATATAACAGCAGAAACTTTACATTCCATCTTCAAACTGCTGAAATAGAACTTCTGTTTTAAAACTTTTTACAAGCCAGAAAAATAATCTGCCACTGTTTCTGTGTGGTCATGCAAACTGTGTAAGTTTTTCATCGTAATGTAAAAATGCTGCTTTTAAGGAAGCAGTTGCTTTGCACTCTGACCAATGTAGCAAAATATCCTTAAATGGAGTGTAAGGCCATACCAATTTTGTGTATGTATATATTTATATATAATAAATTCATATAGAAAAGACAGGGAGGTTGCTTTTTAAGGTGGGTAGGGAGAAGACATGTAAGTACTTCATGATTAAGGTAGTTTATTCTTTTTGAAGAATTTTAGGTCCTAAGTTTTAAGTACGGGTACCACACTTTATAGTCTGTATTTCTCTAGTCCCTCCACTGTTCCTGAGGGGAGAGTAGCATGAAAATTAGTAAGCATTGACTTTTTCCATTATTTTCTTTCAGACTTGTGTTGTTAATGAACCCAGTAGAGGTACTCAGAGAGCACTTCACTCTTCCTTCTTACCTTAACTCCAGTGACTAATTCTTACCTGTGAATACTTCTATGATTAACTCCTGTGAGATGCTGATATTTTAGCACCCACCTTGCAAGGAAGAAAACGAAAACAGCTGAATATGAACTATTTCAATGCCTGTTTTAAAGCAGCTTATTTGATGTTAAAGGGAGATGAGTTTTGTCCTCTTAACAGCAGCTGCCTCTTTTTTCCTATGCTTAAGAGTTGATTAAACTGGGGCAGCTTTAATGCTGCTGCTTCCTTCTGAGGTCTCAATAAGATTGAAAAGAAAATGCTCTGGCCTTGTTGCCAGTCCTCTCCTGATTAAGAACAGGTGTGAGAAAATAGCTGTATCCAGATTTATTTTTTTAACAAGCACACAAAAAAAATATTGCAGAAGTATTTCAAATGTGGATTTAGTATTTACAAAAGAGCATTGATAAATGGGCTCTGATGGATGGGCATGTCAAGAGTGGTCTTGTCTTGCCCCTTTGCGGGAGGGTCTGTCCCACAGCTGAGGTCTTGATCTGTGTTGACAAACCCCGTGGTTTTACCCTGAGCTCCACTAGAGAGTGGAGGGTGACTGATACTGCCCTCTCCGTGGGGGACAGTGACTTCTGGCAGAGGGATGGGGCAGCCAGTAACATCTTGCACCACTGCTGCTAAACTCAGCCCAGCTCATTTGTCAGAGCCCTTGGCTCCCTGGTATAAACAGTATCAAGGCGCTGTTGTATTTTGGAACAAATGAGCTTTAAGTCAAGCTCTGGAAACAAAGATTTTCTTCATACAAATGGCTTGCAGATGGGAGAGATACAGAAAATAGGACAAAACAATGCCACTACTTAATAGGCTTTTCTCAAAAGTTTTGGGGAGGTGTTCTTCCTAGATACCAGATTTTTGGGGGTTTGACCAGTGAGTTGGATACTTCTGCGAAACTGAGACAATGTTTATCAAGGACACAAGGAAAACATTCTCTCTAGGTGCTGAACTAAACCCACTTCTATTTATTTTGTATGTTTTCAATTAGAAAGTGTTCCTGCTGTGCGTGTGTGCCTGTATCTCCCCTCCAAAGTAAGACCAAATGTGCAATGGTTGTCCTGAACAGAAATATCTTAAGTATTTTTATTGTTCTAAAGATAAATTCATTTACAAAACAATGTAAATGGGTGTGCGTTTATAGTTGGAAGGGAGAAATTCCTGGGTCCTCCCCTCCTTTTTTATATCACTTACATGTAAGTTTTTCATTACTCCTCATCTCAGTTTTAATATAATAAGCATGATATGCTGTACACTGTGGTGGAATGTGAGTAGACAACACAGTCCATAAAATGTCACTGTCCACAACAATGTTATGCCTGCTTATGGCTGTTTTTTCAATCTCAGGTGGGTGGTTACAAACAGCTGCTTGGGACAGGCTTGTGCATCTTCAGGATTCAAAGGCTGCTTCCAGAATGGTGTTGACCGATGCTGCAGGGGTGGTAAACTGCGATGGAATGCACTGTGACCTTCGCATGTCAGGCCATTTTCGGGTGAAGTCCTTAGTGTGTTGCTTCATCTTTGCATCTCTATAGATCTCTTAATTCACTGAAGTTTTACGGCTTCATCTTTGCATCTCTATAGATCTCTTACCGTAAAACTTCAGTGAATTATCTCAAACGCATGTGTGAATGGCTTTTAGCGCAATTGCCTTTTGTTTCAGTTCTTTTGAAACAGACATCTCTTTCCTGCAGCTCAGCAAGTCCGTGAAAGAAGAGGCGAGCTCTGGCCGTGATTAATGCTGTCAGTATGTC